TGTGTGTGTGGTGAGTGATGTGTGTGGTGTGTGATGTGTGTGGTGTGTGTGGTGTGTGATGTGTGATGTGTGAGGTGTGTGTGGTGTGTGTTTGTGTATGTGTGTGTGTGGTATGTGATGTGTGAGGTGTGTGGGGTGTGTGGTGTCTGTGTGTGTGTGTGCTATGTGGTGTGTGTGTGTGTGTGTGTGGCGTGTGAGGTGTGTGTGGTATGTGTGTGGTGTGTGGTGTGTGTGTGATGTGTGATGTGTGTGTGTGTGGTGTGTGTGGTGTGTGAGGTGTGTGGTGTGTGTGTGTGGTATGTGGTGTGGTGTGTGTGTGTGGTATGTGGTGTGTGTGTGGTGTGTGATGTGTGTGGTGTGGTGTGTGAGGTGTGAGGTGTGTGTGGTGTGTGTGGTGTGTGATGTGTGGTGTGTGTGTGGTGTGTGATGTGTGTGTGGTGTGTGATGTGTGAGGTGTGTGTGGTGTGTGAGGTGTATGTGGTGTGTGGTGTGTGTGATGTGTGAGGTGTGTGTGGTGTGTGTGGTGTGTGATGTGTGATGTGTGAGGTGTGTGGTGTGTGTGTGTGTGTGGTGAGAGAGGTATATACATGATGCATATTAGGTCTGTATCTTGTGTGGCTTGAGTGTTGTGGTATGGGTATGATGTGTGTGCATATGGAGTATATGTTGTGTATGTGTGTTGTATATGTGCTTGTTGTGTTGTATATGTGTATGTAGTGTGTGGGGTATGTACATTGTGTGGTGTGTGTTGTCCATATGTGTAGAGTATGGGTTGTGTGTGTTGTGTAGATATATGGGTGAGGAGGGGAAGAGGTGCTCTCCCCTAGATCCTGTTCTCTGGCCTCCTGTGCCCCTGTTGGATGGTGGGCCCCTCTCACCAGGCTGTGACCTATGCCCTTTCTCTCTAGCCTTGTCTTTTTGTGTAAGGAAACTCCCCCTGTCCTATAGAGAAAAGTAGAGAGGGCAGGATGGGGACACCAGGGAGGACCTTGGGACCGTGATGTTTTACAAACTTCTTCTGGCAACGACACAAAGAACCAGGGGTGAGTCACTTAGTGACTGGCTCCTGCACCTCTGCCTGGCCATTTCCCTCAGCTGACCCTGAGTTGGACAACCCTCACCCCCACCCTGAGCCAAAGGAGCCTCACAGGGCCTTGGCCTTCTTCTCCGAGAACACCCTCAAGCAGAAGTCGCCATCCTTGAAGGGCTCGAAGGTGGATGGCACCACCAGATACTGCCCAGGTGGAAGACGGGCCCGGCCAGACACTTCCCGCTGATTGATGTAGGTGCTGGAACAGGTAGAGGGCTGGTGGCCCAAGAAGAAGTCCCGGCCCAGGTGTGTGTCCATGTGACTCTCCAGCTGCACAAAGCAACAGGCAAACAATTTCTCTTTAAATCCTGAACAGCGAGGGCCAGGAGTTCATGTTTTTCCTGCTCAGTTAGAGATGATTCATTGTTTACCACTGTGCTGAGAATCAGAAGGCCTCAGGTTCTTCCATGAGCTCACTGTGCATCAATAATCAAGTATATTTTTGAGTACCTTCTGGGTACCAGGTCATAGTGTTTGAACCACTGACCTTGACTGTGAAACCTTGGCCAGACCATTTGCTCTCTCAGCCTCCCAGGTAAATGAAGGGCTGAGCCCAGGGCCTCTAGTGGAGGCTGTTTCTCTTCAGATATTTTCCCTCATGATTCCAATAGCCTTAATCTGTGGCTGCCCCTGGGGGTGTGGCATGGACCTTCCTGGTATAGACCTGAGGTTGGAGAAGTGAACTTCAATTTTGATCCTTAAGCAAAAGCCACTAGAAGGGCTACTCACCTTTGACTACCTGGGAAAACACTCAGCAAGGTGACTAAAGTGGTCAGACTGCGAGCCCAAGGAGGCAGCCACAGCCAAGCCCAGTTCTGGTCCCTCCTGGCCTCCAGAGGGGAGGCTGCTCCCCATGATCTACCTAATTGTTGCAGGAAAGTGGGAGGCTGTTGGTGTGTGACACGGGCTAATTAGTGACTACAGTGTGCTTCAAAAACACAGGTGCCAGCATTGCTACTGCTATCATTAGACCTCCTCACAGCACTATATCTTTACCATCAATCTTCATCATGACACCTGTGACAGAGGGCAGGTGCTGCCAAGCTGCAAGAGCTGTGATTTCTGTGAGGCCTGGAGATGGATACCCACCCTGGAGTGGTCAGTGTCCATGCATGGTTGCCAGACCCTCCATGGCTCCCAGGTCTGCTAATCAGGGGAGGAAAGCAGCTTCCTCCTACCCGTTGCCCTGGCCAGGGCTCCACAGGGATCCCCCAGGAAGCCCCTGCAGAACCAGCCACTAGGGCAGCCATGATGTTTGGAATTCCCCATGAAAATGCTTAAACTCGTGGGGGCCTTCCAGCAGGACCATGGCCAAGGGTTATGGGTTCAATGCCATTCTTACCATCCCTGAGGATAGCAAGGGGAGGAGAAAGGCCCAGCAGAAGAAATGGTGCAGCAAACTCTAATTTGGGTTCTGTGAAAAGGAGAAAGCCAAGTTCCAGCAAGAATCCCAGAGTGGAGCAGATGAGAGAAGTCCTGTTTGGGATGCTAGAGTGGGAACTGGAGACACTGAGATAAGAGCTGGGTCTCTACTTTCCTACTAGAGACCCCATACAGGCAGGTGCCACAGGTCCCTGACCCTGACATCCTCCCTCACTGTGACTCAGCCAGCAGTGACAGGAGGGGGATCACACAGGCTTAACTGAGGGTGGTTATCAGTGTGTGCCCAGAATCCCCCATGGGGTGGAGCAGAATGCAAATTAATAGACCTCACCCAGACCTACAGAACCAGAAATTCTAGGGGCAGGACCCAGCAATTTTCTTTAACAAGCCTTCCAGGAGATTCTAAGACAAGTTCAAGTTTGACAGCCATTGGCCCGAAGATTCCCTGGCACTTGCAGAACCTGGGATCGCCAGGGACACATTGAGGGGCCTGTGAGGTGCTATTGGAGTGAATTCCACAGTGTGTACATGTGGCCCCTCATATAAATGGGGCATCTCTGATGGGAACCACCATTAACTGGATTTAACTCACATTTGGTTTTAAATATGTTCTAGTAGTGAAAGAATTAGCATTAAGTCACCCATACTCCCTTGTCTCTTCCCTCACAATAACAGCATGTATTTGTGATCCAAGGGCAGGGTAGACAAGTAGCCTGTAGCCTTGGAACAGCACATGGGCTGGAGCCTGTAAATTTGGGCCCTGTTGGCACATGCCACATTGCTGGCCAAACGTGAGAACCTGGGAGAGTAGAGGGAAGGCTTCAGGAAGGCAGGTACACCTGTTTGTAATTATTGGAATTGACTCCAGCTCAAGGAAGAACAGTGGTTCTCAACCTTGGCTGCAATTGGAGTCACCTCTTGTTTATAAGCCTACTATGCCTGGGTTCCCCACCCCAAAGATTCCCCTATCATTGTGTTGGGATGCAGCCTGGGAATTAGGATTTTTTAAAACTCTATAGGCTGCCACCAAGTGGATAAAAACCCACTGGGGTCTCACTTTGTGCTGTCTGTGTTCCCCCAGTGAGCCCTCCCAGGAACTCCCTTCTCAGGAGTGCTGCGGGGGTTCTAACCTTCAACCAGCTGAGGTACAGGCGGGTAAAGCCAGGAGCACAGAGGAAACTCCAGATGTGTGACAATGATGATATGACTCTCTAACCCACTTGTAAATGACTGAGGAACAGAGGAAAAGCCAGGTGCCAAAAAGATAAAGTTGGTAGGTACTTCCTTTTCCAATCAGAGATCAGGGCATTTATTTCTGTTGACCAGATAAATAGGAGCCTACAGTGTGCTGTGATTCGTGATTGCTTTGCTTAGACTATACCACCAGGCACATTGGCAGGGGGGCGGGGGGAGCAGGCAAAAACCACCCCTGTTCCCTTCTCTTGGGGCCTGAGAAGTGAGACTTGGGTTTATCTTTACCAGCATTTGGGGTTACCAGCCCATGGGGTCATGTAAGGGAGTCCAGGGGAGAACTGGCTTCCATCACAGGATGATGCTGGGTGCCCATCCCAAAGACAGTCAATCTCATTCTTACCAAAGGAAGGACATCTGTCAGTGCAGTACTCACATACCTCCTTGGGAACCTACAGGGGAGATAACAAGAGCAGGTTACCTGAGAGCACAGGTCTCCCAGTCATGCTTTTGCATCCCTCCCAGCATCTTGCAGACAGAGTCTGAGGAGCAAGTTCATGCTTAAATAAGAAATTAGTCAGTATTTTGAAACTGGAAAGTCATTGATGAATTTCAAGGCCTCTGAAGACTACTGAATCCTACAAATCTGGGAGTGAAGGAGAAGGTTCTTCTTTTTTACTTTATTTTCTGGTTGTAAAATCTACCAGAAGCCGAAATTCTTTAAGAGTTGGAGCTTAAGTAAGAGCTAATGTCTTCTTAAAGACCTATAGACCTGGACTCCCAGATCATGGAATTGGCCAGGGGAGGATCTCACTCAACCTGTGTCATAATTAGTCCTGCCCTTGGTGAGTGGTCAAAGAATAGGCACAGGACAAACCCGGGCCTATCAGAGACTTCTCTAGGATTCTAAAGTCGGAACTAAGGTGCCCCTTTCTTTTTGCTGGAAATATTAGAGCATGAAGAAATCTAGACCAGACAAATACCATGGGCACTAGAGAGATGTGGAAAGAGCCCTGGTAGCATCCGAGTCCCTTGTCCCAAGCATCCCTCTCCTTCTGTAGTCTGATTACATGAGATTCTGTTTTACTAACTTAGCTTTAGTGAGGCTCTATCATTCCCAACTGGAAATGTTGACACCCATGAGAGATGAGCTCTTAGACCCAGAATGGGAGTCCTGCCATGCCTAGGGTCCTGTGCTAGGGTAGAAGAGGGCTCCAATCCCCATAGTGTCATTCTCCCTTATTTTGCCCATGCCATGCAGGCTGTTCAGACCAGAAGAGCAGGAGGGACAGGCTGGTGTCTTGGGTCAGCAGGCAACTGTCTACAACTCTGAGAAACAATGAAACTAGGGAGAATTGGGTTCAGCTAGTGTCCTTGCAGCAATGATAGAACAGTTCAGGATCACTGTCACTTATCTAATTTTGAGTTTAAACCAAAATCACCCATGCAGAGGTCCAAACTGGCTGAGAAAGCAAAGGCCTCATGGGAATTTTCCCTCCTTTCAGGACTGAAAGCCTTCCCCACCCCACCGCTAACTACCTTGGCAGCCTTTCCATCAACAACTCGACCACTGCCCTGACATCAATATGCTCCAAGTCCACCCTGCCAAGAGTCACTGGGCAGGAACCGAGCCATGCGGGAGCAGCATGGCAGGAAAGCAGGCCTCAGCCACTGCACGAGGAGGGATAGGAAGGGAGGTCATCTATGAAATGCAGGATCCTGAGTGCAAATGACAGGTCTGCCTGGCAGGACCCTATTGTCACTGCAGGAAGAGAGGAGGTAGAGGCCAGGTGAGGTGGGCTCTTCAGCCTGCAGGGATTCCTGACTGCTACTCAACTGGTGACAGTTTTCAAGTTCAAACTATACTCCAGTTGCACACAGTTAAAGCCAGAGGAGGGAGACACAAGGTAATAGTATGGTGTCTCTACTACCCTAGCTGCTCCCTCCAGCCCCAGCTGCCCCCTACATCATTTCCTCAACCTACCTTTTAAATAGTTAATGTTTACAGATGTCATGTCCTAAATTATAGGCCTCTGTACATAAGACGAAAGACCACAGATCACATACACTGGATTATTTTATAAGCAGCTATAATCTGATGTCTGAAAAATTGACATGCTTTGTGAGCACAAACATCATGCTACACAAAGCTATTTCAAAAGAATGCTTTGTTGATCTAGCTACACAAGGTAGGCCCAATGCAGGAAGAACTGGTACCACTGAGCACACCCTGCAGCCATGCCTGCCTACTCACCTCTCTCCAAAACTGTCATCTTGTCAAGAAGCACGTGGAGCTGGAATGCTCTCCCTTCTTCACCTTTGCAATTTTAGTCATCTTTTGAAGCCCTGATCAAAGTCTCCTCCTCAGCTGAGAAGCCCCAGCCCCTGTGTCGGTCTCCATCACAACAGATCTGGCCTTTCCTGTGGTCAGCTGAGTGTGTGACTGACTTCCCACTAGAAATCCTGAGCGCTCTAAAGGCAGTGACCTTGGGATGTTCCTCTGTCTCTCAGATTTCAGTTCCACACCTGGCACATGGTAGGTGCTTAGTAAAGTTTGGTATTGGTATGTATATGCAAAGGACCTTCTCAGGTTTTTATTCCTATAAGAATTGAGTCTTGTTTTGTACTATTTACAATCTAGGTAGCCAAGCTACCAAGCAGCCAAGCTGGAGGAGAATGGGAGCTTATTTATTTGCAATTCTTTTCTTCCACCATCGAGTGGCAATTCTTTGCCAATTCCCTTTCTTCCACACACACACACACACACACACACACACACACACACACACACACACACACACCTCTGAAACCCTGAATTAGAAAATATGATAGAAGGCAGGAGGGTGGATGAGCTTAGCATTTGCATGTTTCCTTCCTGGTTTCTTATTACAATACTTCTTTTTTACATATTAATTTACACTGCAATGTTGGACCTCCAGTCAGCTATTGGTCTTCCTGATTAGAATTATATTTTCCTCTAAGAAATTCATTTTTAACAAAACTGTGAAAGACAAAAACAAACCCACCCGTAAAATTCTCTGAAATTTGTTATAAGGAGTCTTTGCCTATAAAAAGAAATGGGCTCAAATTTGTTTCTGGAGTGGGGGTTACTAAGAGGGGCTGAAGCCTGAAACCAGAACCAGCTATGTTCACCAATCCAGAGACACCAGAACCAAAAATGTCCATTTGGCGTCAGTCACCCCAGCCCATGCCCTGTGCGTCCCAAGGGTCTCAAGGTTGTCCATGGCGGAAAGAGTGGGTACATATACTTGTATCTTTGCCCCCTTCCCCCACTCACTGGTTCCCCTCCTCCCTCAACTGCCTTTTGCACTCATGTTTTGCTCCTGTCCCTGAAACACCTCTACTTGGAAAAGAGCCTAATATAAACATTCACCCTGAGCTCTCAATGACAGTAATGAATTACAAATCTCAGTGTTAACAGTAGACATTCGAGCCATAGGAATAAGTCTCTAATTGTGGAATTCAGACCTCAGGAAAGTCTTTCAGAGAGGAATTTGGGGAAGAACAACATGTGATTAGAAATATCCAAGCAATAAGGAAAGATGTACTCCAATTATTCAGAGCAAAGACGTGGGGTACACACAATGAAGGAGGAGCCCAGCTGGGCAGCACCTGATAGACAGCGTAGCCAATGCTGAGTGTGCCTTGTCCTATCCTCTTCTGTCGCCTGCGATTCTTCTGCATCAGACCCAGCAGCACGGTACAGCAGGGTTCACCAGTGCCCTCCTCCTGGTCCTCATCCACCTCTTCCAAATGGATTTTGAACTGGGGATTAGTCCAGTAAGTGGCTGCAAGTCCCCCAGGTGATTGTAGTTCCCCGTGGGGGTGAGGAGATGGGGAAGAATAAAATAAAGGGAAGAACCCCGATCATCCCAAAGAAAGCATAAGTCTGGCCACACAGCCTGGTGAGCTGGCCTCAAAAAATGATCTTTCCACCTTCCTGACCCACCACCACACAAGCAGACACATCTGTTAGTACTTGTCCATTTAATGATCAACCTGGTACCCAGACCTGCTTGATTGCAAATAGCCCAGGGCTACCCTGAGCTGCACTGGGTTAGGAGCTTTAAGTTCTCCTGGACAAACAGTGCATCTCTTCCCGTTCTTAGATGGAGAACACCTGAAGGAGGGGAGATCACTGGGCAAAAAGCATGTCTCTGGGACAGATGAGGACAGAGTCCCAGGGGAGTCTGACTATCAAGGAGGTCTCCGCCTAACAGACTAGACAGCCCTCTGATTGGCATATGTTCTCCTTCCAAAAGGCCCCAGATCAGATCACAGCCCCAAACATCCCTGAGAACAAGTCCTTTTCCTTTGGCTCTGGGACCTCACGTGATAGTGTGGGTATTGCAGCTCACTGACAGACACGCTCCCTTTAAGACAAGTCATTTGATGACGCATTAGGAGTCATGATGGGCAATGAAGACCCATTCCTGCCACACCACCCATGGATATTTGAAAAGACTCCTTCATGTGAAGGTGACCTTTGGAAAAAAAATCTCTCAAAATAGTGACTACACAAGCAGAGGCACAGAGAAGTCAAAAGGAACATCCAAGGGCACACAGCAATTCCATTCTATGACAGTTGAGCAGCAGGGTATAATTAAAGAAGATAGGCCTGACAGGTTGCACCATGCTAGAGCCTCAACGGTTTCAATAATGATACACCCTGGGTGAAGGAATTTTCTTTTGGAGCTGGGAAAGTTGGGTATTTCTTTTTTAATCCTCTAAATAAAGGTTCAATTCTGTGAAATAACAATAGCATTTACAAGTAACCAAGGGTCACCTGATTATTATTTTTTCTTAACTGTAATTCAATTTCACCTTTTGAGACTCTTCATTTCCAGATTTTTTTATTTAAGGCACAAGCAGGAATTTTTAAAGTCAAGTGTCTATAGATTCCAGAGGAGACAGAAAATTTGGTGATCTTCTGTACTTACATCATTACCCAAAGGCAAGAATATTCCATTGCTTCCTGATAGCACAGATGGGATTATGATTTGGTGCACACAGATACCTTGGGCACCCCTACAGTTCTGAGCTCCCAGAATGATCCATGCAAATTTCCTATGCATTTGCTACAAGCTCACTAATGGTGAGCATATTTTAATTTCTCCCAAATGCAGCATTACAGCAGTCCCTACATTTTTTGTTTACTCCTTAACAGTACTGGAGGAAAAGAATGGGCCATAAAAATAATATATCCCATTTGTACAACACTGCACAGTTTACAAAACACTTCCCTATGCACTCCACATTACAATGCTCACTGAGACCCGCTGAGGTCGGAAGGTAGGAATTACTACCCAATTTTGAGGATCGGGAAACTAAAGCTCAGGAAAGGGAAATGCCCCCCATGTCTCACAGCTATGAAGCTAAGCAACAAAATAGGGTATGAGTTCCCCCTTCCTCTCTGTCTGCTCTCTGTTGCTGGAAACAGGAGGTCTAGGTTGGATGGGGATGTAGGAGAAATCTAGGCAAGACCCCAGGATTGCACCCACGTGGGTTTTATGATGATTCCACTTCCACAGCGCTGAGCACAGACTTGCAGTGAGCTCTGATTGAGAAGAAAGCAGCTGGCCCAACCCCTGTGTGTACACTCTTAAGTCAATCAACAAAAATCAACATGGCCATGGCAAACCAGCCAAAAGCATGGGAAGAAGGAGGCAGAAAGTGAAGACAGCAGGTTTTGCTGTCCTTGGTTTCTCCTGAAAGACGTGGGATGGTTTTGTGGAGTTTCTTCTTCAGGTGCTGCCTCTGGATTTGACCTAGGAGGAGCCTATTCGTGTACTTATTAGTGACCTTTCATGAACCCAGGAGGCCGCTCACCTCTAGTAAGATGAGGACCCAGGGTTAGTACAGAGGCAATGGTTTGCACCCAACTGACCCTCATGGAAGTGGAGCATGGCCACACGCATGCCCTGTGTGTGACCATCCTGACTCCCACTGTTCTCCCCTCCATCTCAGACTCAGGTGCAAACACAAAGCAAATGGCTGCTCTGTTGGGTGCTGTTGGAAACAACAGATGTTGTCCTTTAGCAAACCATTAGCCACTCTGTCCCCAAGCTCAGTGGGATGGTGTCAGCCAGCTGGGTGAGGTAGGGATGGTGGAAGCCCAAGGGAAGAACAGGAGGCCTCAGCATAGGGCACCAAGAGCAAGGTCAGTAAGCAGCACATCCTTTGGGAACAGGGACGGGTGGGTGACGCAAAGGGAATGTGAACACACAGCAGCTGAGATCAGGCCTCAGGTGGGTGGCTGCAGAGCCACCATCTATCCTTGCTACCATGGCCTCCAAGCTGGGAGAGAAGCAGAGTTTCAAGTACAAAGCCATTATCCAAACATCAGCATATGAAGTCACCCAGCTGAGAGAGGACAAGCCAGGCAGCCCTTCGCCTCACCTGGGTAGTTCTGGCAGCCCCCAGCAGTAGAGCCCCGCGTCCAGCGGCCACTAAACAGCACTAGGTTCCACTTATGCACCTCCTCACTGCTCAGAGAGTCTGGGGACAGGTTGCAGATCTCCAGTCGAGAGAACTGCTTCAAGAAATCTGAAAATGACATCCTGGAGGGCAGAGGAACCAGAAAGCTGTCAGTCAAAGGGGCTGGGTAACAAAAGGCACCCAGTGGAGCACAGAAATGAGTCCTGTGAGTGGCCTTCAGAAGATATGGGTTAGAAGAATCTTTTCTAACCTCTGGTACAAGCATCCAAATTCTTCGCTGTGGTTAGAGTGTCAGTTCTTAGAGAACACATCTCTACTGACCACGCAGAGTCAGAACCATAAGCTAGAGGAAACCCCAGGAGGTGAAGTGCATGCAGCCCCTGCCTCCAGGCTGGGTTATATTGAAGTCTGGAGGTTCCTGCCCATGTAATTCTCAGGGATGTCCAGCCTAGAGATGTCCTCTAAGCTGTACCATGTTCAAAATGTACTATGTATCATCTTCCTTAGTCCCCCAGCAAAGGAAGGTGTTCTGTTTTAATAATAAGTGATATCTTAGACCTATAGAAATAAAAGTAGTGCCCTGGGCTCATTCAAAAAGTAGCAGGCTGATGGCTAGCCACGTTGAGTCCCCAGTGGCTTGGTTTCAGTGCTTTAGGTATATGAGTAGAGAGATAAAATTATATTAGAGCAAAAAGGGGGAAAAGAATGAAAGACCCATGGCTGGGACCCATGTCTCATTCTTGGAAGTCTTAGCGTCTGGCCACGCCCATGTCAGAATGTGAAATGGGCCCACCACCAGGGACAGCTCTGCAGCAGCAGCCTCTCACCAGAACTCGCCATCCTCAGCTTTCTTGTCCAGCTCTTCCTTCCGCCTGGGATCTATGTAATTCCACTCAGGTGCACTGGGGAAATGAAGCAGAATTCACTCCTGGGGAGCAAGCTAAATGTGCCACCCCCTCTAAAAAAAGGGCCAGAAATGGGATGCCCAAAAACAGCAGGTAGAAAGCAGGCTGGACCAGGTGTGTGGTACTGCACAGGCTGGAGAGGGAATGAGGCAGAGGACATGGGTGCCAGCAGGGTGGCCCTGGACCTGTGGCAGAAACACTATGGCCCTGCTCTAACTTTTACTGTCTGGCAAGTTTGACATTTCCAATTAAAACTCCCAGGCCCCTGACTACAAGAATGAGGAAGTCCAGGAGAGGAGATATAAGATGTCCTGTCACAAGAAGGGCACACACTCCAGTGTCAATTAGTAAGTTGTCAATCCCATTTGTCTACCAGTCTGGAGTGAATGTATTGTGAGAAAGTCTGAGCAGTGCTGGATGCATGGACACAGTTCACCTCCTAAGCCTGCAAGAATGACGATCAGGCCTGAAGTAATGCCACCCTGTGAGGCCTCCTGCTGGTGGCCTTTCCACAGCAATATCCATGTGCCTTGTCCAAATGCCATCTCAAACTACCTGACCTTTGCAAAGTCAAGTTTTCCTGAAATACATGTGCAATGTCTAAATAACTAAGCAGTATTAAGATCCATCTTTTTTAAAAAAGCAAAAACAAAAAACCCTTCCCTGAACACTTTCAGCAAAACCCAAACCCTTTCTCTGCAGCATGTGAGCTGGGTGCATCCAGGCCCAGACTTCCCTGGGGCAGGCTTCTAAGAGCCCAGGGATTAGTGGAAGAGTTTTCAGGGGTTCTTTAATTAATGGAAACATTCATTTAATCTGAACTAAGTCTTAGGATGTGCTTATTACAAGCAAAGATTAAGGGACACATTGGAGAATTCCAGATCTAACTTAATCTCCCACTTGGTTGTTGTTTTTCAAACTAAAGCAAATTTTTAAAAACCCAAATAAACCAAAAATAAGAACAATAAACTCTAGCTAGACATTGGGCTGGGTTTGAGCACCCTCCTTCTTCAATTGCTATATATAAACATATAATGCCAGGGGAGAGAGAAGAGGTGCACTCAAGACTCTAAGATTGGGAAAGGAATAGTATAACAACTCATTTCTGGTGACTGTTTATCAGTAAGACTGGTGCATTGTAATTCCTTCCCCAGCACCAGCCAGTCTCCCCTGGACCAGCTTTGCTAACTGGATGGAAATCACCTCATGCCATCCCCATCCTCCTGCACCATAGGAACATCAATTCCCGGGTACAGCTACCCCAGGACATCACTGCCTCTGACTGGCTTCACTTCACCAGCAGAGAGGCTGCCCAAGACATTCCCCTCCTGCCAGTGACCACCCAGGTCCTGAGCTCATGGGGTGAGCAGCATCCCCTTCACCACCACCTGCTGGGACCTAGTCCCATTTTCTCACAGCATCATTTCCTTTTGGTACGGAGGTGTTTGGCCTTTGTCAGAGGGACTGGTGTTTGGGGAGTGGAAAGAACAGATGATGCTGATCAGTTTGACCTTCCAACTACAGCAGTGTGGTAAGTGGAAAACAGGTGACCCTTCAGCACTAAGCAAAATTCAATGGGGCTGCCAAATTTTATGCCAAAAACAGAAATCCAGAATCAAAGACAACAGCTAAGTGGTTTTTATTTTGTTTTCCCATCCCGGCACTGTTTGACACTTTTTCCTGAACAGGCTGTGGCATGTGGAACAGAAAGTGCTGCAGAACCCACTGAGCTGCAGGACTCATGACTGTGTGTGCTGCTTGCCACCTTTCTGCAGAGCAAGGGGAAACATGACTGGAAGGTAAGAAGGAACTTACTCATCGCTCCAGGCCCCCGACCACTCCACTTCACCCCATGGGTTTCTGAGTCTGATCAGCTTCTCTGGGGAGCCACGGAAATCCACCTGCAAGTTCCAAACACAGAAAAGGAACAGAATTGTCGTGCTCCTGCTGCCCTGCTTTCATGCCCACGCCCGAGAGCTGAGACCATGCACATTAAATGTTTCAAATGCCTCTAAATGACTACACTTCTATTTTCTTTCAATGTGTGTTTTCAGTCTTTGGCCAAGTGCCCTGTTTTTCACTACTAGTTTAGATTTAAAAAAAAAAGAGAGAGAGTAAGTCTAACACGAAAATAAGCTTGTGTCTGCTCTACCTTGAATTTTTATAGTTCACTAAGTTTGACTCCATTCTTGATATTTGAGATATTATGATAATAAAAGCCTTCTAACAAATGCTGATATCACAGCAGTTAGCATTTATAGTGTGAACTATGGACTAGGTTCTGTGCTAAGCATTTCAAATGCATTATTGCCTCTTTTAAAACTCACAACAATCCTGTGAGCTGAGCATTATCTTCATTTTACAGCTCAAAACTCTGAGGTTCAGAGAAGTTCAGTCCGAGATTGCCTAGTTAGCACACAGTGGATGCAGTGTCTCCAAAGCTCAAACTCGAAAATCCAGGCACACGCTGCTGCTATAGTTTAATCGTGGTTTTCCCCTCTAAAACTCATGTGGAAATTTGGTCACCACTGGGGCAATGTTTGGAGGTGGAGTCTTCAAGAGACATTTAGATTGTGAAAAAGAGTTAATATTCTTCTCACTGGACTGGGTTAATTCTCCCGGGAGTGAGTCTCTCCCTCAGGACTGGGTTAGTTGCCAAGAGAGTGGGTTATAAAGAAAGTCCAGCCCCTTTTGCTTGCCTCTCTTCTGAATGTGTCCATCTATTCTTCCAACATCCACAATGTTATGGAGTAGCATAAAGTCCTCACAGCCACCCAGTCTTGGACTTCGCTGCCTCCAGATCCATGAGCAAAATAAACCTCTTTTCTTTATAAATCACCCAGTCTTGGGTATTCTGCTGTAGCAACAGAAAACAGGCTAAGACACCACCCCACCCTACTATTTATTGAACACTCGAGTGTAAGCCCCCTCTCACATACATTCTTACACTTTCATACTTGTCCAAACACAATGGTCTGTTAGGTCTTTGTCATCTTAATTCCTTTTGTGTCCTCCATCATTCCATAGCTCAATGTTTCCATGTACATAATCAATCCATATTTATGGAATTGGCTTGATTACAAACACATTCATGAAGCAGAGATACATATGAGAGTATTCATTCTATTTTAATAAATAGCAAGAGCTAGAATACCCATTGCATTTCTCTTTTTGCATTGGCCATTGGGAAGCCCAAAGCAAATTAATTTCTCAATTATAGCACTGTCTTTAGACTAGATTGATGTATCTTATCTTAGTTGTATGATCTGACTGTGTCTATGCTTTTAATTGCAAACTACCTCAAATCTTTTTTGAAATTAGGGTGCAGAAAGGAAATAAAAATAATGAAAATTATAGGCCATGCTTTCCGAGCAAGACCTGAGCACCTTCTCATTATAGCTCTTCTGAAAGTTGGAGCAGTTTACCTTTTCTGTTTTGGGGCATCCTGTGGTTTTCTCCTACTTTACTTATATTTTTATTGGAATGTATATTGAACCCAACCCATAATCTCTACAAGTTTCCTGGCCATACTTCAGAAGAAAGTTTGTATTTAATTAGAATCATAGGCTACAGTGCAGAGGGATTAAGTTATCCATCTCCTGGACAGTGAGAGTCAGAAGAGCACTTGGGGTATGCAAGAGCTAGCCCTCCTCTGCCCGGGGCTCTGGGCATCCAGAGACAGACTGAACTCGGAACCTCTTAGTGCTGATCTCCTCTCTCTTTCTCTCAGGGGTGCCCTGGATTTGTGGTAATAACATTTCATGCCCCCACCACCACCTGCCCAATTTTACCTCTTCAATTCCAGTGACAGAGTATGCGTGACTCTTAACCAACTTCTGCCTGGTGATGGCTTCTGCTTCAGCTGCACTGGAGACCTGGGGGAAGAAGAGAACCTACTCAGGGTGGCTGACCCTGACCTCTTTGAGGCCAGCCCTGTGATCCTTTCTAAGGATATACCACACAGCCAGAGGGCCCTAGTGTGGGATGAGAGGAGCACAGGTGCAGCAATGAACCACAGGCAAATAAAGCCATCTCCAGTCAACCCTCTTTAATGGACCAGGCAGGTGCTGAATGGCTGCCAAGCTTGGAGTATGACTTGCAAGCTTCTAAAATGCCAACAGGCATTTATTCTCTGAGACTGGTCCCTGCTTCCTGAAGAAGAGTATCCACTATTATCCACTATGACAGCAAGACAGGAAAACAGAGAAGCCAGAGGAGTGGTGGTTTCCATGGCACACTGGAATTCCATACCTTCCTGTCAGGCCATGACCCCTACCTAGTTTCAGAACCTCTTTTCTTTTCCTCAAGGATCTCCAAGGCCATGGAGTATTTGCAATGATCATATTTGTTTTCCAAAATTCCAAGATTATTTCACAAAAAGAGGTAGGGCCTAGGATCCAGGGAGCAAGGCTGTGTTCTCAGGGCAATTCTAGTAGTACAAAAGGGGTTCTATCACTTAAGGGGAAATCAGAGCTCCTGCAACTAACCAGAGTTCCTACCCACAACTGTCTTTACCAGCTCCTGTGTGCTGTGGTCACCAGATTTGCCTATTTAATCCAAGACGGTGCTTGTCCAAGACCTTTCCAGGCCTCTCTCCCCACTCCCATCCCTCCTCTACCACACCTAGGGAGCAGGGACAAGGAAAAGAATTCAAGCTCACATCAATGGAGCAGCCCAGCAGAGACCCTGCTTGAAGGGCTTTCCGGATGATATGATAGAGGTTGCCTGGGGCCTTCTTTAGATCATAAAACTCAGAGATGCCACCTGTGAAATCCTCAAACCCCTCTATTGTGGAGCCTCCAGCAAGAGCCTCATAGGAGCCATTGAGCCTGTTGGAAAAGAAAGAAAACATGCAGCATCCACAGCCATTAACAACCCCAGGGAGGGGACCACAGGGGTTGAGGAAAGGGACAACACTAGGACCTTGTGGTCTGAAAGGTCAAGGAGGGCCCTTTGCCAATTTTGACTTTGGGCCTGGAATGTGCTTAGGCCACTGCTTCTTAGCCAGCTCAGTATTTTACTAGGAACTGATCTCAGACAACCGTTCCAGAGCTGGCCTAGCTGCCTAAGTTCCTGGGGGTTGTGGGCACAGACAGCAATGAGAAGGACCCTCCCTCAAGGAAGAGAGGCACCTGATGAGGCTTGCTTTGGGAACAGGACTAGAAAATAACTGGGGTTTCAGGAAAGAGTGTCAGTAAACAAAAGGAACCCAAAAGAAGCCTCCAAACACTGAATGTCATTGAGAAGGAGAATAACTCTGAGGAAAGGGTAGAACCCTTTTTAAGTTTGGTACACTTTTTTAATTCTTCTTCATCACTATTCTAAAAATTCACATTGCCCTACAAAATTACCTTAATGTTTGAAAGAGGAAAAAGCTAAGGCCCAACAAGTCAGGTAGCTAGCCAGCAATGCACATATTCATGTGGGGATGGAGCTGAGATCTTAAACTCCCAGCCCAAATTTCTACTTTTCTTCATTCCTAAAGGATGCTTGCTCTCCAGCCTTTGGAGACCCCAAAGACTTGGCCACACTACCTTGAGGTGAGGTGTGAAGACAGGTGTGGGTTAGGGCAGATGAGAGCATTCGGGGAATCTCTAGAGTCCCTTGGCTCCTAACTGCCCCGCTTACTTGGCGTAGGCCTTCTCCAGCAGTGCACTCCAGAATTCATTGCGTTCTTCAGAGTGTAGAAAGAGCAGCTCCCCATTCTTGGTGGGCAGCCTGTCATCGATGACCACGTCCACCCACTCTCCATACTGCCAGAACTATGGGTGGGAAAGCACAGTGCTGTTCACACAGGTAGCAGAGGGAGGCCCTTCAGTGGCCCTGTGAGGGGTCCCTGTACAGTCAGTGACCAAGTCTTGGATCCTTCCTGAATGTCAGGCTCCTTAAGAACAGGATCTAGGTCTCCACATGCATAGGGGATGCTACATAAACCAGGAAACATCCAATCTGGTGTCTGGGTTCATGGATATGAGAACTTTCCCAGAATCACCAGTGGCAACAGTGGGTGACTCAGACTCTCATTTCCTGACACTCAGTCCCAAGTACTTTCCTTATGGTCCCGTAGCCTGAGGCAGATGGGAAGGGGATGGACACATGGAAAATTGAATGGATGATTTAAAGAAATGGTACTCAAACTTGAATGTGCATCAGAAGTCAGCTGGAGGGACTGTTAAACATAGTTACTGGGCTCCACACCCAGAATTTCTGACTCTGTAGACCTCAGGAGAGATCTAAGACAGAGAAAGTAGTGATAAAGACTATAAACAAGACACAATACCTGAAAATGAAAGATGCCCGCATAGTTCTTCTGGAAGTTCTGGTCCCTGGGCACCACCCGGTAAAGCAGCTTCTCATTCAAAGTAAGGGAGGCAATGGCTGCCAGGAGCCAGCAGTCACCTGTACAGCAGCATAAGGGGACACAAATTGGTCAGGTCAGGCCCTTGCTGTCCCATCACTCCAAGATCCTTATCTGTCTTAATCTGTCCTTGCCGATATAACAAAATTCCTGAGCCTGAGTTATTTATAAAGAACAAAAATTTATTCCTCACAGTTCTGGAAGCCAGAAAATCCAAGGTCAAGTCACCAACAGATTCAGTGTGTGGTGAGGGCTGCTTCTGCTTCCAGGATGGTGCCTGTTGCTTGTCCTCACTTGGCAAAGAGTGGAAGAGCAAAAGGACCTACCTAATTCTCTGAAGCCTTTTAAAAGGGCACTAATCCCATTCTTGAGGGCAGAACCCTCATGACTTTATCACGTCCTAAGGTTCCACATTTTAATACCATCACAATGTGCCTGAGGTTCAAGCATATGACTTTGTGAGGGACATATGGACTCAAACTACATAGCATCAACCCACTCTCTTCTAAGACAGATGCTAGCGTCTCCTGTCTGAAATGCACATGCAGCAATCAGCTCCTGAGGCCTCACTAGTTTTTTTTTGTTTTTTACTCAGAAGTGGAAATTCCTCCCCATCACCACTCCCTCCCCCACACACTAGCCACTGTTTCACCTCCCAGGCAGTAGGAAATGGAAACAGGAAATGCCTACTCCCAGGCAGTAAGAGTAGGAAATGAAAAGAAAGAGGAAAAGCAGCAAAAATCTGTCCCTTCAGTCCTTTATTGGCAACTCTGATAAATTTGGCTGAAGGAAATATTGAAGCTATGTAGCCAGTCCCTAAATCTTGTGAGTGAGTAAGTGAGTGAGTGTCCCTCTCAGAGCCTGGGGTAACAGGCAGCTGACTCTGTGTGACGAGTTTAGAACACGGTCCTTTTGTGTTTCCGAGTTCGCCACCACGAGAGCCTCATTGGTCAGAGCACCCTTGAGGTACTGATCGGCATCAAATAATCATAATTTGAAGCAGAAGAAATAGAAGTCAAGAAAGGTTAAAAATCCTAGGGCTTGGCATTGGCCACTTTGAATATTCCAGTAAATTCAGAAGCAAACTGCAATCCCCTTTCTGTGTGAGTCAGACTTTCCAGACTGATGCCGCCCAGTGCCATTTTCTGGGATGGCATCATCATCCCCTGATGTCATCTTCAAAGGGTTAAGTACAGGCACCTGACACCATTTGCTTACCTTGAGCTGCTATGGAGGGGAGGGAAGGCGTCATCTTGGGAGTGATGTGTGCTTCTTGCTCACATCCATGTAGATGCTCAGACACACCAGCCTCTGAGAGCCACTGTCCTAAGTCTTCATACCATGTGAAAGCACACTTCATCTTACTGCCAGAGCTGCCTCTTCCCAGCTGCACTGCAGATCCCTAGCTCTAGGAGACTGGAGTTTGGGGAGAAAGTCCCTGTTCCTCTTATTCATAGGATTTATATGACTCCAAAATCTTGCCTGTGTGTCCTAGTCATCTTCCCCATATAAAATCTCTGAACCTTTTCAATGCGTCTTCAGACAGAAGACTCTTACAACATTCTAGAGACCATCCAAGGTCCTTATCTAACTCTGTGCTTTCTTTCAACCCTATGACCAAAGTTGCTTGCATATTTCAGGTGTAAACATACAGTGCTTTTCACAGGCTCGGGTTGCCTGAGTCAGTAGTTAGTAGACTGTGACCCAGGACCCACCTCTAAGGATGTGCCACTGTGTGGTCATTCCTTATCTTTCTCAATGGAGGCTCATGACTTGAACCCCTAATTTCTATCCCCAACCAATCTTGTATTCTCAATCTCTCTCTCCCTCTCTCTATCCCTCACCTCTCTGTCTCTCTCTCTCTCTCTCTCTGTCTCTCTCCCTCTCTGTCTC